TTCCTTGCAGCAGATGCAGGGACCAATGAAGGTGCAAAGTGATGTCCTCTCCTGGAGGCACAATGGCCCGGAAACCAACAACCACCTGTGAGAACAGCTCTGCACTAACTCAATGTCCAAATACACTAAAATCTACAAGAACTGGAAACAACAGACACAGAGACACCAGGCAAAACAGTCCCAGAAATTAGGCAGCAACAAGGAATCCATTTCTACCCGGAGCCTTCATGTGAAGGGAAGGTCTGTCGCTCCCAAAACCATGCACTGCATTGGGCTGCCTGGGATGGGACCTTGGACCTCTGCTACAGCCTTTGCTCTGCAGTAATTGATCTGCTGGCTGTTCCTAAAGCACCAGGTGGTCATAAACTGGGCAGATCCTCTGCAGATGCTAGAGCTGTGATTGTTGGGGATGCTCTACAAGCAAAAGCACCTTTTTCCATGGACTAGTCCCAATTTTTTGTCTTGTTCTATTGAGCCATCACCTAGATTTCCTACTCTGACCTAACAGCTCCTGTAAAAACAGAATCTCTTGGCAATAACAAGGATTTTCAGGGAAAATATTTCTTGGCTCTATTTGCAACAGGCTTTAGAAACCTCTTCATGCTTGTGATTATTTATTGTGATTTTTTGATAATATTTTCATCTTTCTGTATCCAGAGATGCACATCACAAGAAAATCATTAATGGGGCATCTTCCCATCTGCCTGCTCCTCTCTTGCCATGACATGACATTCCTCAACAGAAAGCCAGGCTGCCACCGCCTCCCCCTGCATCCCTCCCACCCACACACCTCAAAAGCCCTGGGCAGGGCAGATTTCATTTCAAGTGTACAACCAGCTTTGCCCACGTGGCTCCCACCAACACTTTCAGAGGGTTATTCTGCTCTTTGGGGCTCCAGTAACTCTGCCTCTTGCAAGGGTTAATTCGCCTCCCTCTCCAACTAAAGCATAACTTGTCCATCTCACCCCTGCCCTGAGATTAAGCACAACCCATCACCCTCCAACCTTACCATGCAGTCTTGCCATTGCCAAGCCAGAAAGCTCCTGCTCTCTCATGCTGATCTGTAGCTTGAGATGTTGGGATTCATGGATGAGAACAAATCCAGGAGACTCCGTGGTCCCATCACATTCCCCAGGTGTTTGGTTTCATCCTGCTGGTAGATGCTGGGAGAAAGGAAGAACAGATAAAAGAAGAAAACATGATGAAATTTGGAGAGCAGAGGGGAAAGGGAGCCCATCACATTGGTCCTTTGCTGGAGCATTACTGGAATAAACCAAAGGATCCCTTTGGATGCTGTGGCACCTACAGCAGGCGTGCCTGCAGTACCACAACGTTAGCACAATACAGAAGGACCTTTGTACTGATATTGTAAAGGCAACAGGACTTCTCTTGAGCAGCCAAACCTCCAGCCTCCTCAATTTAATTTTTTTTTTCATTTCTGAGCATATTGAAACTGGTCTATAAGAGTCAATATTGCCAGACCAAAATGATGAAAAAGACCCTCAGGAAATAAAACTGTCAGTCAGCAGCACAAGGAGGTGCCTATGAGTGGAATTTTGAAATGGCACACTTTGGGGTAGCTGTCACTTGCTTTTAGAAATTACATTTAAAATTAATGTTTGCTGTAGAACTTATAAATATTTGTTCAGGCTTGCATAAAATATCCTCAGGATAATTTTAGCATGTACGCATCAGATTTTCATTTCACAGCAGAGAAGACTGAAAGTAAGTCTGTTCCTTCCACAGACAATGTAGTCTTCATCCCTGTGAGACAGGACATGGTGAGACACTCTCCTTGGTGAGACATGCCTGCCATTTCAAGTCTTTGAGGATCTGGGCTGGTACAACTGAAGACACAGCTGAAACCTGCCATCGATGTTCTACTCATTTTTCTACTCATTTCAATGGGAGAAACTTAGATTCAAGTCACTGGACAGACTTAGAGACAGCAAGGATCTTCCACTTGCAGGATCTCACAGGATCTCCAAACTAAAGCAACTGTGGACACATCTGAGTCACAGTCTCGTCCCAAAAGGTAGGACAACATGAACCCCTCATGATGCTGGGACAAACAGTCTGTGATGTTCAGACAAAGAGAGCAATGGGTGGGACAAGTTAAGAAGCAACTTGGGAAACTTCATCAGGTACTTGTCAGAGTCTAAGAGAGCTTTCCCTTGACTTCAGTCTTCTTGGGATCAAACCTTTACCAAACTGTTCACTTTTCAAAATGTGTGGGTGGCCAGACCAGCGTGATGCAGGTGTGGGTGGCTGTTTCAGCATCTCTGCTGGTTTTGTAAAGCAGAACTCCCTGTGATCTCTGCTCAACTCACAGAAGCATGTATAGTCTCCAGGGTTTGGGTCACTTTCCCCCACTTGGTTGTCTGCAGAAGCTCTTTGTGTCTTGCTATTGGCTTGATTCATATATCCTAGCATCAAGAAATGGATAAAGAGCATGTTGCATTTGTCAGCCACCCAGACCTTGTGATAGTCTCCAACCAGTCATTCAATTCAGTTTTCAAAAGCTTTCCCCATTTGGATTTCTGCAGCATTGGGGATATTTTGTCCCCACCACGGGATGTCAGTCACCTGCAGTGTCACCTGAGATGTCATACTTCAGTCTCTCCTTTTGCTGCCTCTTTAAGAGGCATTTTAATCACAGAAATTCTCTCACACAGCACTTTTAATCCTTACTCTGTTTGTAGGACTCCAAGACATCCAACAACAGAGGTACAAGCAATTTAAGATCTGCTTTTGCTGGATAAGCTTATAGGTTCTTTAGTGGCAATTCTCATACTCTTACTCATACTTAAGGAAGCCATACATGGCTTACTTACACCTGTAACTTAAAAGTGCCTGCAACCATTCCCTGGCACTGGAACCAGTGAGTCAGGGACACAGAACTACCTTCATCCTAAACTCACCCTGCAGAAGAGATGGGTCCCATCTCAAGGGTCTGTTTGGAATAGTTCTTGTTCCACACTAAGTCCAAATCATCATGAAAATTTCTGAAGGGCTGTGCAAGTTGGCAGGGCCAGTCCCATGCCAGGGTCTGTGCGTCATAGATAAAAAGATGGACAACAGAGTTCAAGATCTGGGAAGATCCCCAGGTAGTGTATAATTCATTGGAACAGATTCAATCCATGTGTCTCCAAATGCTCATTTGAAAATCATCCCTTTCTTAAACCCAAGTGATTTTTGTTCAATAAAATATATCTGGGCACCAATTCGGAGATTTGCCAGGAAACATCCAAAAGACCCTTTGGGATTTGAAACCCCATAAGAGCCATGTTATCATCTATGATGGGTCATAGACAACTGGAAAATCTGTTGGACTAAGCCAGGAAAAGCCTGGCCTCATATTCCTTGCAGCAGATGCAGGGACCAATGAAGGTGCAAAGTGATGTCCTCTCCTGGAGGCACAATGGCCCGGAAACCAACAACCACCTGTGAGAACAGCTCTGCACTAACTCAATGTCCAAATACACTAAAATCTACAAGAACTGGAAACAACAGACACAGAGACACCAGGCAAAACAGTCCCAGAAATTAGGCAGCAACAAGGAATCCATTTCTACCCGGAGCCTTCATGTGAAGGGAAGGTCTGTCGCTCCCAAAACCATGCACTGCATTGGGCTGCCTGGGATGGGACCTTGGACCTCTGCTACAGCCTTTGCTCTGCAGTAATTGATCTGCTGGCTGTTCCTAAAGCACCAGGTGGTCATAAACTGGGCAGATCCTCTGCAGATGCTAGAGCTGTGATTGTTGGGGATGCTCTACAAGCAAAAGCACCTTTTTCCATGGACTAGTCCCAATTTTTTGTCTTGTTCTATTGAGCCATCACCTAGATTTCCTACTCTGACCTAACAGCTCCTGTAAAAACAGAATCTCTTGGCAATAACAAGGATTTTCAGGGAAAATATTTCTTGGCTCTATTTGCAACAGGCTTTAGAAACCTCTTCATGCTTGTGATTATTTATTGTGATTTTTTGATAATATTTTCATCTTTCTGTATCCAGAGATGCACATCACAAGAAAATCATTAATGGGGCATCTTCCCATCTGCCTGCTCCTCTCTTGCCATGACATGACATTCCTCAACAGAAAGCCAGGCTGCCACCGCCTCCCCCTGCATCCCTCCCACCCACACACCTCAAAAGCCCTGGGCAAGACAGATTTCATTTCAAGTGTACAACCAGCTTTGCCCACGTGGCTCCCACCAACACTTTCAGAGGGTTATTCTGCTCTTTGGGGCTCCAGTAACTCTGCCTCTTGCAAGGGTTAATTCGCCTCCCTCTCCAACTAAAGCATAACTTGTCCATCTCACCCCTGCCCTGAGATTAAGCACAACCCATCACCCTCCAACCTTACCTTGCAGTCTTGCCATTGCCAAGCCAGAAGCAGGGGCTGTGTGTCCAGGGTGTCTAACTGTGTCCCAGGTTTCAAAGCGAAATTAAAGGAAAATATTAATGATAATTTTAAAAAATATTTAAAAATAAATTAAATAAAAGATTTTCAAAGAGTAATTGAAAAAAAAAACCACCAAAAATCTGTCTGCCCCAGCAAAGACTCTTGCAAAGAGGGTTTGTCTGTGGAAGCGAAGGCTAGGAACAAAGTTGTGGGGTGGAGGGGGAGGAGAGGATGATTGACAGCCCAGAGCTGAGACTCATCCCTCACCTTGGGCCATGCGGTCTGATTGGCTGCCTGCTGACATCCCCAAGCCCTGCACTTTTTAATAGACGCTTTTGGATGATCTACAGGGAAAAGCCTTGGAGAGGTGTGTTTCTGACAAGCCAGAAAGTCATCCACACTACAAGGGACTTTGTTTAACTCTTCTTTTTTTTTTTTTCCCTTCCCCCTTTTTTTTTTTATCCCCCTTTCCCCCCCCCCCCCCCCCCTTTTTTTTTTTTTTTCTTTCCTGGAAGGAGGGGGTTTCTTCATTTGCTCACTTAATGTTTTTCTGAAAACTTCGCTGAGATTTTCCCCTTGCACCAGCCTGGACTAATGGATTACCACCTGCTTGGACTAATTTTATCTTTTCTCTTCAATGGCACAAAGGTCTTAGCCGGTTACCCAATTTGGTGGTAAGATTTCTTCCCTTCCCACCCCCTCCTCCCCCCCCCCCCCT